AGCCACAGACGGTGAAAAGTCTCCGCACTTTTAACGGCTTAGTAAATTATTATCGACGCTTTATTCCCAACTGTGCCTCTCTGATTCAGCCATTGACAGACCTCCTTCGAGGGAATAACAAGTCCATAGAACTTGACGCGTCTGCTCGAAATGCTTTTACCCAGATTAAAAAAGCTATTGCGAATGCCACACTTCTGATGTATCAGGATCCAACGGCACCGTTAAGTATCTCGGTTGATGCATCAAACACTGCAATCGGCGCAGTTCTACAACAGCTAGTTGACAAAGAGTGGCAACCACTCGCCTTTTTCTCCAGGCGCCTTCAATTAGCTGAAACGAAGTACAGCACATTCGGCAGAGAACTTCTGGCTATGTACTGTGCTATACGACATTTTCGACATTCAGTAGAGGGTCGTGAATTCATAATTTTTACTGATCACAAACCTCTGACGTACTCTCTGAACTCACCTTCAGATAAGTATTCACCCAGGGAATCACGACAACTGGATTACGTTTCACAGTTTACATCAGATATTCGCCATGTATCCGGAGTAAACAACACTGTGGCAGATGCCTTGTCGCGCGTTTGTTCCCTCACCCAAATCGACGGCATAGACCTTGTAAAACTGGCTCGTCTTCAAAAAGAAGATACCGAGCTTCAACATGAGTTGTCGAAAACAACTCTACAATTAGCTGAGAAACCCTTAGGTATGGGAAGAGATACTATTCTATGCGACATTTCCACGAGTACTCCTCGCCCCATCGTGCCTAAAAGTTATCGCCGTAACGTCTTCAATACGTTGCATGGCTTATCTCACCCAGGTATTCGAACTACTGTCAAGCTCGTAACTAGTCGGTTTTGTTGGCCTGGCATTAATAAAGAAGTAAGGGAATGGGCGCACACGTGCTTAGCTTGTCAAAAGTGCAAGGTGATAAGACACACCAAAAGCCCACTTGGCACCTTTCTTCTCCCTGACGCTCGTTTTGAACACGTCCATATAGATTTGGTTGGACCCCTTCCTGAATCCCATGGATATGCCTATATTTTAACTTGCATCGATCGATTCACACGATGGCCGGAAGCAGTACCCATCAAGGACGTATCTGCTGAAACAGTCGCACGCGTCTTCGTAGAAAGATGGATCGCTAACTTTGGATGCCCATCTTCCATAACAACTGATCGCGGGCGGCAATTCGAAAGTGGCTTATTCTTCGCCCTGACTAAAATCATAGGTTGCATGCGTTTTCGAACAACAGCCTACCATCCTCAAGCTAATGGTATGGTAGAACGTCTACACAGACAGCTGAAAGCTGGTCTGTCAGCTGCAAACAACACCCATTGGACTGAATCCCTTCCGTTAGTTCTCCTAGGGATACGAAACGCCTTGAAAACCGATGCTGGTTGTACTAGCGCCGAGCTAGTATATGGCACGACACTGCGACTGCCTGGTGAATTTGTTTCTCCCTCGAGCTTCCCACCAGTGGTAGATCACGCTTCATACGTCAGCAGGCTTACAAACGCAATGCGTTCAGTTAAACCTGCTCCCCTTCGTCCACAGTCCATTGATGTTTTCGTTCATCCGTGTTTGAAAACTTCTTCACATGTATTTGTTCGTCGCGACTCTGTGCGCAGACCCCTGGAACCCCCATACGACGGACCTTATAAAGTAATTAAACGTTCTGATAAATTCTTTGTCTTGGACAAAAAAGGCCGCGAGGACACCGTCAGCATTGACCGTCTGAAACCGGCTTACTTGGAGGGTAATCCTATTAGCATAGAGCTCAACGTACCCCAAAATCCACAAGTAACAGAAGATCGTCTAGACATCGATGAAGTCACTAGCACAGCGACAGCTACCGAACCTTCTATCGAGCCTCCTAAGAAAACCCGTTCTGGACGCACCGTAAGGTTCCCAGAATATCTGCACACCTATATGACATAACGAAGTCGTGTGATTCACGCAACTCATTCGTTTGTGGTACTAACTATTTTTTTTGACGTATCAATTTTTTTATATACAGTACCACTGAACACAAGTAAATTTTTTTTCAACAGTTCATGTAACATGCACAAAAAAATTAATTAAATGTATTTTTTTTCGATGTTCTGAACTTAGCATTATTTTACTGTATAGTAAATGCACATCATTTTTTTTAACAAAAAAGCTGATTTGGTACATTTTCCTCGACATGGTTCTTAGCGTTCTTGTTTTCTTTTCCAGGTGCGACGGGCACTGGACAGGAAACAAACGAAGCACGGGATCCAACGAACAACAACAAGGAAGCTATGTACAAACACCCTATTAGCATAGGCAGACAAACCAGTAGGCATGCCACCAAGCCGCTCGGAAGATTTTTTTCACCCGAAAGGGAACCATCGAGTTTTTTTACTTCCGGCTGGTTCTGTCTTAGGGTCCTCACCACCCCACTAGGGGGGAGTGAGCTGTAGCGGTAAATAATTCCCCAAAATTATTGACCACAGCAATCACTCACCATTGGATGCTGACCACCACTGTTTAAGTCGACTTGTTTAGCTGAAGGCTTCCGGTCAAGCATCCCCGCCATTTGGTACCCCGTCGTGTCACGTGCACGATCACTAGCAAGCTAAGCGTTCGTCTGACGGCTTGTTGTGGTCCTGAAATATATCACGTAGTTTGGACGGTCAAATACTGGCTTTTGCTTTGTTGTTGGCACGCGAGAATAAATTAGAGGCTATGTAAGAGAATTCCGTCCACCTCTAAACTGCGTTATCGTTGGAAAGCTTTAAATGGAGGCTGGAAAAGCATGCAGTGAAACAAAGCCTGAGTCCGAACGGCCTAACTTCTTGAAACTCACACACATTATCAATAGGTATGCTCGTCCTCTACTACTGCCCATTCTACTTTGTCGTACTCTTCTGAGCAGTCTGTTTCTTCGCTCGCTATATATATATATGTGCTTTGGTGGCACAGTGTTTAGGACTCTGGCCGACCATACATATGATCCGAGGTTCGATCCCCTACCGACGCACACCCGATATCTATGGTCGGCCTGTGAAATTTGGGCTACCGATATCCATGCTGAAAATTCCATACTTGTACCAAAAATACAGTGTGGAATATATACATATATATAGTGATCGAACTCGGCCTTAAGAAAGATGTGTACATCAAGCTACCCTATATGAGGCATCAAAGCAGCTTGATAACTAGAAAAAGACTGAACGCTGCTGTTAAAAAGACTTTTAATGCATCTAATATCATAATAATAGAGAATGTAAAGCCAATATTTCTGTTTCAGCCCTTCGAACATGCGAAAAATGACGTCTTATCCCACTGTATACCAGTTTGAATGTACATGTGGACACACATACATAGGGAGGACACATCGAGCTCTGCAAGAAAGGGCTTCAGAGCATATTCCTTAATGGCTCCGGAAAAAAATGGAGTCTTTAGAACATAGTAACGGTGAAAACAGGAGACCTAGCTCTTCTATTGCAAAACATATTATAGAGACATGACATAAAATCGACGTTAACAGATCTTTTAAACCTATGTGTAAAACGTGTTTGGGGCGTATCCTAAAGTTTGAGGAACACCCAGCAATTAGAAAGTTTAGGCCACCTTTATGCGTTCAAAAACAATTCGTCATCACATTAAACCATCCTTGGTACATTCTGTTTTGATATCATAGCAGATGTACTATCATCTCTGCTATTTGTTTTAGTGGTCTTCACTGTCATTTTGACCTTGAATATGTCCTTTTAACTTGACCTAAGTCTATTTTCTCATATCTTACCTCTTTATGAATTTCATATATATTCCTATGACAAGTCCGTGTGTGATCACGTTGTTAGAAATGAGTTGCGCAAATACATCACACGATTCAGACAAATTACATTTTCTTATTGCCTTATCTAAATCCAATAAAACAAAACTCGACCATGGAAATTTGTTCTACGACATAAATTATCACTGTTTAATTAGAATATCTTCACAGCCTTATCAGTGAAGATAATCATTGTTCAGATATCTGAGAGATGGTTGAATCCCAGAGAAAACCAGGCTTGTAATACAACTCTAACCAACAACTGGACACAAATCTCAATAGCAAGTGAGTAGTGAACTACATTTGAATTACTGAGGGTTCCTAAAAAGTCTTACCTAAAGTACTGATCTATTGTGATTTCTTAACACCTCTCCCAACACACTCAAACCACAACCACATGTGACTGTTACCTCATCAATCTGACTGTAGAAAGCTACCAAACTGATAGATGAAGTACACAAATGTACAGTTGTTTATCGTCATCATACGAGAGATAGAATCCTTAATTCTTGGCACTCTGACATCTGTTTGAAATACCTGACAAATACGCGATAAATTTCTTGAAATTGTTTCCCGCAATGACCGAATCCCAGTAAATCAGAGAACAACACAAACAGGACAACAGTCAGAGATCCGTATCTGGCAGAATTATTTGCATTGTATGAATACAACAAATGTCAGCAAACTGCAAGCAGCGTTTAAACAACGCAGTGATAGAAATTACAACAATTAGTCCCTCTGATAAATTGGGATAATCCATTTAGAAGACAGATTTCGCGGGAGGATATCCTTTCGTAGTTTCAATACAACCGCTTTACAACTAACATGGCTAACACTAATAAAATAAAATGCATGAGAATCACTCAGCTATATAAAACAAAAGTACACACTGCTGACCGATCATGATGGAAACTGTTAATCACCACATTGAATCATCAATTTCATGTCTTGCTTACAATTTTCACATTGAAATTACTTCGGAGAAATTTTTCGAAGGCAATGAAATGCAAGTGTGATGACGAATTCCTTCAAATTCAACGGGCAGTACACGCTAACGAACACAAATCGAGGGAGAGAGAAAGATGTATCGGCATAACAGTGAAAACACAGTGTTTGCGACGCCACACTGAACGAAGCTGATCGTCTGTTCTCTTAATTCGTCTAACAATAGATTCATAGCACTGCACATATAATCAATGGATTATGTATGTCTACAATATTAAGAGTTAAGAGGAAATGATTTCTTGTCAAATAGCAGTTACCTACCATCGTATCATGCTTTTCTGACAATGACGGAGAATGATTGCACAATGTTAACGTTTGAAAATGTTGCGATTCATTATTAACATGGACTACAATAAAAACAGCAGGACAACTGTTATCTTCCCTTTGTGAAGAAATTGAAACCCTTTTGTGGGGATGTTCTTCCTCGAATAAATGGAAGAGGATCAAAATTGAATACTCTGAATGAAATAATTTCTATATAAGCGTTGACATTTTAGTGCTCAGATTGTCAGTAGTATAAGAAGAGGTGTGTAATTAAACTATTTGTACAGAGAAGGTAAATATCATTGAAACGGGTTTAGTGATTCTTGGTAGCATATTTTAAGCATTTAAATACACTCACGGATTCCATCGTAGCCTTCTGCCATTGCAACCATCATTCCACCACCTGGCCACTTGTGGAACCCAATACGGTCCAAATAGGGGAGAAGTATGTGCTAGTAAGCACATTGCACACTGAGGCTGTGAATCCCAGTCATGAATAATACCGTGACCATGCCAGGCGAAGTATTCATTGTATGCAGTGTCGTTTCTGTCCAAGTACTTGAGATATTCGGCGAGTTTAGCTGGTGATTCAAACTGATCTACATGGATGAAAGAATATGGCGGAGTAACCTCTTTGTACTCCTCCAGTGAGGCTCCCATCACAATTGGAAGGATTTCGTTTCTTTGAAATAGTAAAAGGAGTGAATGCCTCCGGTTAATATTGTATAACAATGTATATTGTCAAAATGCATTTCAAATCTCGAGAAAAATAAGCCTCTATTTAGTGGTTTTTGACATCTTTACGTTCTTGACTACGAAGAAAAACAGCTAATAGAAAGGAAGGCAGGAAAAGAATTCATTGCGAAAGGACTGAGTAATTGTTGCTAAGATAAACAATGAATGTCCCTTACATTATTCTCCGTAGACGGGTTTTATAGTCAAATTGATGAACTGAAAATGACGTCACCTTAAGATCCCATGCATAACTTTATAAGGGTCCATGTACAGACACATTAGATAGGCTCGACTAAGATTGTCATTCTCTTGGTAATACGTTCATCGTCAGTGATAAATACATTAACAAGAAAGAGCTTCTGAATGCTTCCGTCCTACTTATGTAGGCGGTTCACTTGTCAGGAAGAATTCAGAAAAATTCTATCTTTTTTAAGTGTCCTCCCCACAATAACGATAAACAGATTTTTGAAGTGGAATGCATTTAGAAAGAATCTTTGAGCTTGTGGATAAATCCATTTTCATAATTTAATATCGTTTCGATAGAAAAAAACCTAGTTACAAAATAAGATGCATAAAGAAATATATAAGCCACATTATCCGTTGTAAGAAAGCAATTAACCAAAATATTTCGTAAGAATGGTAATGATTGGTAATTTAAATCAGAATACGTTGCATTTTAGATTAAGTTTCAAAGATGACAATGCAGCTTTTAACCAAATGTATCAGCTGATGGGATCATTTAAAAGTACTTCCACTGTAGCTAAAGTGATACTCATCTTCTTGACAGATGAGAGTTTCGTGATAATAGCTCATCAGTGCAATTGTTCTTACATTGACTTCAGTTGTACAAATCATAATTAGAAGTCTTAAACCAAGCGTTCACGTGAACAAGTGAAGGAACATCTAAATGTAAAGCAGTGGTGTTTTATCTTATTTGATGCATGCTGAATGCAAAATGAACCCAGAACAACTTTTCGATGGCATTAACTCGTCAACATGGGGCTTGACTTTATCTCTTATCGATGATCGAGCTGACAGAAATCAAAATCAGAATCCAGATCTCAGTGTCCATAAGAAATGTGTCCAGCCAATTTATTAATCCTGGAGCACAACAGGATCAACACATGGCGATTAACACTTTAACCCCATGTCCCTTTTTTCTCTATCTCTCCACTGTTTCTGCGGCACATCATTATCTTAAACGTCTGCTAACTCATTAAGTTTATTACCACCAGTTATTTCAATGTCTACTCTTCCATCTTGTACTTTTACCACGGTGAAGTTTCCTGTGGGATTTTATTTTGCCTTAATTGACTATCTCATAATAGTATTTATGGATTTAGGACTGTAGAACATGGGGCAGTTCTAATTACTCTTTTTCCAGTATCAGTAGTTAACAGTTTCATTTTTTCAAGTCCCCCTTAAACTTTACAAGACTAGGTTGTAGGTGGTTAGCAGCGCAGTTCTGTACAGTCAACAGTATTATAAACGCTAACAGAAGAATTGTCTCTTAGCCTTGTACAAAAACGAATCCTTACAGACTATCTGAGTTCTTATGTATGTTGAGAATATTCATCAGCTGCTAATTTATCCATTTTTAAGTAAAATGCCTATGATGTTTAGTAATATACACACATAGTAATTCAAGTACACTGTAGAATAACTTCATACTTATGATAATATCAATTAAATGTGAACATAGTGCATAATGGCAACTCAGCAAGATAAATTTGATTCTTTGATAAGTGGAATCACCCATATACTTTATCTGTTTTGACAAGGAAGAGATAATTTGGTAACCGCGAAAATTAGTTCCCGTTATCGATCATCATAATTGAGAAGATAAAATGACCTGAAAATCGGCAAATTAACAAGCGGAATTCAAGCAACCCAAAACTAAATAGCTGAAATAAAATCAACACTTGAGATTTAATACCGCTAGTGACTGACTTTAGGATAGAGTTCCTGGAGTTCTCATGGGAAGTCATGAACAGTGGGTTCCACGAAGTCGTATGTGAGAGCAGATACTCACCGACGATACTAGTTGCCGGTGGTGCCGTATATCATGAGTTGACATAAATTAGAATTCTATCCCAATCGCTGAACGGTCTTCTTTCTAGCCTCGTAACCCGAATGAGAGAGACATCCAGTGGAGTCAGGTATGCTCACTGGTAAAGAGTCCCAAACTAAAACAAAACGATTGGCCAGTAATCCCTGTTTCTCAGTGGTTTTCTGACCGATATCAGTTCGTGGTCAAACCTAAAATCACTCAAATCTCTGCAAGCTAAAACTTAAAATGAGTTCATTGAAGTATCAAGAAAATTTAAAACCAATTACGAATGAACCTCCAAAAATAGCTTACCTAAGAGCATTTTTGTAGAGTTTCTCGGTTATGTAGTCAGGGCATAAACTGTTTTCAAAGCTTAAATAAAACTTGTAGTTTTCACGAATCATTTTTAAGCATTCACGGGTTGAAGAATATGTTTCTATGTTCTTCGGACACGACATACTACCACATGCACCGTATATATCAACCTGTGAGTAATGAAATCAAACCATGGAGCATTAGCGACAACAGAGTTCTTAGTTACACAACACCATGGTAATAGAAGTTTAGAAGTGTGTATTGTTCATTTTCAGAAGTAACCTTTCTAGTCATTATCCCTTCATTAAAGCAAATTTAAGGCAGTAAATAAATAACTATATTATAAAGCCTCAGTAGATTCTATAAGATATTATAGTTTGAAATGCACATTATTCGACAGATAAATCTGCTTAGCCCAACGTATAGAGAGTATTTATAATGACACATTAGAGTAAAATTCGCATGCCTTTTATACAAGCAATTATTACTCCTGTGTCTTAATCGAGTATAATTTTGGAAATTTAGTTAAACACTAATGTAGTTCATATTATCTGTTCATCTGCTATTTAGTGGAACATATTGCACATGCTCCCAATTTTTTCGTTTCATACTCACGTTGTAGTCGCATTACCAGATGGTTATTATGAAGTTAATGAATGACACAGAGGACGGTCTTTTGGTAACCGAAATTTACGATATGAAAGAATGACCATGGTTCGGATGGTGAAGTTTATAAGTAAATGGATAAACTGAAGCAGAATAATAATTCTGAGATGCAAATATGAACAATACTCTCTTGCTTACTGGTATATGGCGAGATAACTCTTTCGCATACCTCATTCTAGGGCTTTTTGGTAGACAATTGCTTACAAACCATGCAACTTTTTTGGTTCTTCCGGCTGCAAAGTTACGAGGAGAAAGTGGATATCTCGTTTGTGGTCCATGAGCTTTTATATACGGCTCATAATAACCATATGACGAATAGATTGTTGAGTCCAAACGAAAGGATATCGTAAAGTTCACCTACAAACACAACGTAGGAATTAATAGTAGACAAGGTGAATGTGAATGAATGTGCTGAAATGGTTAACAAATAGAAAACCTTAGCTCCAGATCACAACAACTCTGACATTCTGTAAGCGATTAGCTTCTAGTTGTTAAAAAATCAATCCAAATAGAAATTGAGGCTGTACAGCAGTCAAGAAAAACTGACAGGTTTGATTAAAAACAACCAGCAGACTAAAGAAAAGATATTTTGAAAAATTCTGTTGGTGTTATGTTTCTTGGAAATGCTACCCAATGAGCTCAAATTTTTGTATGTAAAACTGCTAGTTAGGCTAAGTTCAACTTTCATTATTAATAACAGTGATGAAATTATTAAAAATGAATAGTAAAAAAGTCAGCCGATCCAAGGCCACTACAGAATCTCACAACTACTTAACTTCCGAAAAGTCAGATGAATTTTACTATAAATTCAAATTCACCAATCTCTAAAGACTCATCTTTGACTCAACTTGTTTATTGATAGGCAACGATATCACCTATTTAGGTTGAAGTCATATTTTTGCACCGAAAGTTGCAATACCGTTAAAAAAGGTTGAGTTATTTCAACAAAAATATAAGAAACCTGGAGCATAATTCTACAAAATACTTTATTGTCTTCTTCTCAATCATAAAAAGTGTCATAACTCACTTTGTGCAAACATGAAGTTAGTGCCAAAGACGTCACTAAACCTGCTGATGAGACATTTAGGAACAAACGCTGAATTTCGGAGCAACCTAAAATAACTTCAAACGTGCATTTTACACTTGAATTCACTCCAGATTACAGTGGTATTCAAAACATCAGAAACGTGGCCCTAATGGTAAATAATCTAACTGTTAAGTGAAAAATACGGATCCACTGAAACTAGGTAATCTGTAGGAAAGGAAAGTAGACTATGAATATTTGTTTTTAAGTTAATTTCGACTTTTCGTTGACTAATTAATCAAACAATCAGAAGTACAACTAAATAATAGTAGTTAATCTGCATTCTTGTTAGATTTTTACCGAACAGTAAAACTGGCTTGGACTGTTTCAATGATGAAATAAAAGTTCAGCACAATTTAGCTATATCAGATTGATCAATCAACGGTAAAATCAAAACTGACTTGAAACTAATAATAGTTGGTACCTGTTCCACAAGGGTGGCCTTAATCATCCAGCTGGTTTGGTGAATAGAATTTTAAAATGAAGGCTACAGGGTTCTTTTCTCAGTAGGAACACTATCACTCAATGGGGATTTCAGGTCCCGAATGAGATGAAATGCGCATTCCCCCTGCTAGTCACCATCCATCAAATATATCGGCAATAAATAAATGAAAATAAAACAGTTGAACGTTTCAAATATTCACTTGTGCGTATCTGAAATTCTATCGGTGGTTCTCACTCAGCACTGTGCTTATTGTCAGTATAAATATATGTTGTGCCATCTGTTTCAACCCATATTAAAAATCAGTGTTACTAGACAACGGGTTCGCCCGCATTTGTGACATCTGCAAGTAAATCCTATCAAAAGAGAACAGCAATAAAACTTAAATCATGTTCACTTCAGTCATATTTCACTATGTTTTGCATTTTTTTATCTCTTTATATTCAGCAGTTTATTTGAAAGTATACAAAATCACTACAGTGTTTAACATTTCTGACCTCATTTTGCAAAGAGTCCGCAACTGCGAGATTTAGAGGAGATTCGTGCATTAGAGTAAACCATAACTGTCCTGATGGCCGTATGCCATTTGGTAATTCTTGATTCGTCAGTACTAATCCATCAGCCTCTTGCCATCTTTCCATGCCACTGATGACTTCACATTCATTTGCATGGCAGTAGGAAAAGTCCATGGGTGTAAAAACTCTTCTTCTTCCATAAATGAGAAACTTCTTCACCTACAACACAAGGAATTGAAGAAAGATATCCCCGTTAGGGTCTTCGTCGGTAACAAATGCTCTGCTAATTAATGAATTTATCTGAAAGAATATCCCAGGGATATCCGATGCTCAATGTGGTAATAGAAATAAGAAGGGCATTTTGACTAAAGTTTGGTAGGTCTACACAAGAATTTAAATACGACTCTTACTCGATGTGAGGTTTCAATGAAAATATAAAAATGTAATTTTTTAGAACGAAACATGAGCATGATAATTTATCTTATTCTGACAGTGGTATTCAGCGTCTTAAGATAACCATCGTAAAAATACATGGAAGGTATGTTAATCCAGTAAGTGACAAAAAGAGCCTATTACCATGTTTAACAAATTGACGCTGCTGCTTTCTTTAAATGGAAAGTTTTACGAACGAATTCAACAATACGACGATGACTACTTGCAGAAATCCACAGAAAATAAAAAAACACCAATTGAGAGGATGGGAAGTAAGATAGTTAGGAAAGAGCTTGTATATTATGCCTTTGCTTTAAAGGTGATGAAATTGTAAAGTACTGGTGGTGCTGTCGTTAAGCCAGACTCTACTAGTCCTTATTTACCACTATTTACATATGCATCCGGTAATTCAGTACTCTACCTAACCTGTAAGTATTGAAGACAGGACGCAAATAAAAAGACTTGTTTACTAAAGACAAGTGCTCACGTTTGCTCATATTTGATTAAAATAAAAGGTTAAGATTATCCAAGAAAAAAGCCAAAAACTAATTTAATAGATATGGCTTTATTTCAAACTCAATGAATGTGCGTATAGACAGCACAATGCAAAGGTCCAGAATGGCGTTGTAGCCAGTTCGTGTATGTACAGATTAAAACAGTCTTTAAACACTGGAATTCAGACTGCAGAACTGTCACAGATTAAATGTTATATGTAAAAAGAAGCATACTCCTGGTAATCCAGTTACACCCCACCACAATGATTTGTCACCGGAACACCTAATAGTTAAGTGTCACTTCTATGTCATATCGAATTCCACGGACGAAATAAAGTCTGTTTACTGAATCATGCAATACTATTGAGAATGATCACTGAGGTAATTAAACAATGGTTGATTCAAAATTCATTGTAATCGGTTAGCTGAGAATTAGAAAGACAGCTGTTATGCACTCAGAGTGCTTTGAAACGTGACAGTATATAAGTAATCAACCAGATAATTTTCTCACATTAAGAAAATACAGAAAGCGATATAAGAAGGTGAGAATTATTCTGTAGAGGAAAATGACAAAATGACTAGAAGATATATTTATTCTACATGACCAATAACTTTCCAGTTTAATTTATACCAGCTGTATCCCAAATAACTAACAGTTTATCAATAAATGTTCAGTGACGAATGTTTATTCTTCATCTTCCACAGTCCAGTCATATGATCGAGTGATATATACGAAACCAACACTAGAAGAAGTGTTTTCTTAACCTCTGATACCAAGATAACGTTTCATTATACAATCAACCATCATGTTCCCTCTTCTGACGCACACCTGAACTCCACATATCTTCTCCCTTTCATTTAAACAGATTATATTTATGGTACTATTTTAATTCATGAGTTGATTTTTGCCAAAATTAGATTCCGGTTTCATCTGATTTGAGGACGTCGTTCAAACACCCAAGATATTTTAATGACTCCGCTAGCCTTCCTCAGTTTCCCCTTTTTAGTTTTTACAAAGCTAATACAGTAAATAAACATTGTCTTGGAATTTAACATGTTTTAGATTGTCAGTAGGTGAGTGAAATTTGAAAAATGCAAGGTACTATATTACCCTTTCTATACAAATGTTTTGGCCATATTCATATTTAGAAGGAAGACGAATCTTATAACGCGCTTGTGTTTTACAGGTTAGTAAGGATTAAAGTAATTTGAAGGAGTTAACTCACTTTCTTTTTACCTCTTATTGTGTCATACAGCTTTTCCAGCCTTTCTTTTTCCAGATTAAAATACAGGGGGTATTTTGGATCGGCAGATCTTGACAGCGTGGAATATGTTTTGTGCAGTGTATAAGCCAAGTTAGCGTGAGTAAGGAGGTTTGAATCAGATCCATTCAAAAGGAGTGATTTCTTTATTTGTGATATGAAATAGTTTTCTGCTTTGGAAATGAAGTAAATGGAAGTGGGTGCAAGAATTATCATCCAAATAATCAGTAGTATAATTAATATGAGAGTAGTGAATTTGCATTCTTTTGAAGTTTTACTGCATAGCATCATTAGTTTAAACAATTTTATTGATTAAATAAAAATTCCACACAGTTCAGCTGCATTAAACGGAGGAGGTACTGAGCAAATCATCTGCAAAATGAAGAATAGACGCACTATCTATCGTATGTAAGTTGTAACTTTATCACTCGTTACTAATATATATTTTATTATTTGTTTGTTTCGTCATTTCACTCATCGAAATTCTATTGGAACAGATGATCTTTTAATTTTGTAAGGGTATGGTGTAACTGTTCTGAATTATTATTTACTGATGAAAATACTTCTGAAAAAAATAATATCGTATGACAAAAATGCAAAATAAAATCAATTAATATCAGGTTATGTATTGCATTAAAAGCGGTAAAGTATATGAATGAATATTATTGACTCACACTAGACACAGAGTACTTGATAAATATTGACGTTTTACATAAAATGTCAAATAAAAATAAAGTCGACACTCTTCTAAGCCATACTGTTCATTAGGTCATTGCTTTATCGGAAATCAGCTAACACAAACGACCACTAAAGATGATAAACCTATAAGAAAACTAACTACCGATGAAGTGTGGAATAAGTCAAACTTAATGACTAAACCTTCTAAATATTTGTAGGTAAATCATTTGAAGAATTTCTATTAATTTTTCTAAATGATTCTAAAAAATAACTATGCTTATGAAGTATTAAGAGTAGAGTTCCTGGAGGGCTGCTTTGTCAAAGAGTTAAATGATGGCGAATCTACTGAAGTAAAAAATTTACGAAATTACAGTTCATGGTATATTTTCTGCTTCTCTTTGAGTTTTCTCTATAACAGCTTATTGTTCTACAGAGTGATTTAAGAGTCATAATCTCCAATAATCAAAATGATTCGCAATCAAACGGGAAAGGACATTCTCCCATTTGGTTCGATTTCAAGTAGGAGGTTCCAGTTATATTGGCTTGTAACGAAACATCCTGTCTGAAATAAACCCGTGATCTAAATGTTCCTCATTGGTTTATTGTATCTCTATATATTATTGCCTTTTTGAAATCTGTCAACATGCTGTGCAATTGTTTAACCTTGTTGAATAATTCACCACTAACATGTAGCAGTTTAGGTTTCCAGTAGTCTTCTGAACAGTCGTTGATAAAATACGTCTTTTGAATATCCCTCAATTTGTAACAATAAGTTACTTCACAGAGAAATTTCCGGTAAACTCTGGATAATCAATTTAACTACCTCCTATGTACCACTGGAAAAATAACTATGTTGTCAGTAATATATATTATAGGCTCTAAAAAGGTTTAAATAATTAGTGAATGCTAACTGACTTGAATTAAATTAATAACTTTAGTTTCATGACTCTTCAGGAGGTTCTCATTTTTTCACCCATTCTGGTCCATGTATTTCAAACTTGACATTTGTCTACTGTTTGGGAGCAAGCATAAGTTATTTCGCCATTGTATTAGTATGTTTTTCATATGTGAATTATGCTAATGACCTCAACAAATGTTTAAACATAAAAGACTGATGACCAGATAACTTACCATTAGAGCTCAAACATCTAATACTGAAGAAGTCCAGTGACGAAACTGAAAACCGCATCTAGGATTTTGTATACTTCAGTCTCTTAAAGACATCCACTCACTATTACTGATCATGAATGAATAGGCAAGAACTTCTGTTTATGGCATTATCGAGCATTATGACCAATTGTAATCATTGCCTGTTTGATTCGATTTTTTTTCTTTGGCACCAAACGATCACCGGTGACAATAAACGGAAAAGTCGTCAGCGTATTATTTTATTTAGATTGCTTGTTCTAATCTTTCCAAGAAATTTAGAATTACTTTACTTTACAAGTAAAGTTTCATCTGAAGTTACCATTCCCATATGTTAACGGATATTTGCTCGTGAGTTATCATTACGGAACGTGTTTCCATGACGTGATTTCAACTTAAGAGCCTTACTGAGTATGGCTTATCAGTTAATTTTTAATATATTATGTTATAGCTAAGTGAGCAGCGTGTTTTCTCTAGAAACCTTCATTTTGATGTATATATGCCTACAATTTCATACCAACTATGTTAAACTATTTAGTGGAAGAATTAAAAAGGAATGTCTATGATCAAATGACAGTTACTCTGACTCAATAAAAAACGTCATACATATACTGGTGTGCGAATATCTTTTATCAAAATAGTAAAACTAGTAAATGTAACCAATTTAACAAATTTCCGCCAATAACACCAACATTCCAGTGGTTTTAAGTTCTGAAAAAAGCACGTTCACGTAACATATTTTCTTCTCAGTACTCTATAACTTGAAGTTTATAAATGTCATCGTATAATAATTAGTAAATGCAATCAATACCAAAGTAGTTAAAACAACCGATATTGTGAGAAATGAAGCTGAATGGATTCGAATTCAAGCGAAGCCAGTGGTGACTGAGATTATAAATCTGCATATGATGAACAGTCAACTGATATGTATATAACACTGGTTGAATGAACAAGTAATGTTCACATTGTTCCGAGTTCGAAATCACTCGTCACTGTTCTCCCGTTCTTTAATTAAATAATTAAATTTAACACTCCTTTTCTTGATCGTATACGGAGTCATCCTTTAGCACTATTGAAGAGATATGAACCTACACGATATATTTATCTAGTTTTTATCTACAAAGATGTAAACCTTATGTTTCCTTCAGTTTACATGTATTCTCATTATAATAAAGGTTTTGTATTTTCCAATGAATAAAAATCAAAACGATATTGTTTTTACTGACGTTTCGCTATTTAATGCTAATAGCTTTATCAAAGTATTATTAAACCAGAATTTACAAAATCTCAGCATATATATAACAAAGAGTTAAGGAGTGAGGGCAAGTTAAAGGGACATACAGAAAGTCAAAATAGTAATGAAGATCACTAAACCAAATAGCAAAGGTTGTGATATCAAAATAAAGTTTACTAACTTGATCATCGTTCGTCTGTCTGGGGTCGTTTTTCGTTGTCAAGTTGGTCAATTGGTTAGGATAACAAAATCAAGTGTAGATTGTTGGATTTGATCAGTGTGTAAAATTATAAAAGTAGCATGTGTTTACATAGTGAACTTGCTTATCATATTCGTGTTGATTTTGTCACTTCATGGGGGAGGGAGGTGTTGTAACCTGGTCAGATTCTGTTTTAGTCCATCATTTCTGTTCAGGCAATTTGGATTCCACTTGATATGAAGTGCTTCTGATATTAGACGTTCTTTGTGATTTCTGAAGTTTTCTGGATTATTTCAATATTGTCAAGATCAATTTTTTGGCCTGATTCTATGGCGTGTAGACAACCTATGGCTGATGATTTTCAAGCTTTTCTACTTTAGATGGATTTCTCGGTGGTCGAAGAGATGCTCTACGGTGTTCATTTCTTCTGATTTTGATTTCTCGAGATGTTTGTTTGATGTAGATCGCTTCACATTCCAAGCATGTTATTTTATAGACACAACTGGATAGAGAATCTTTCGGGATTTGGTCTTTTATATGGACAAGGCTGCTTTAAAGTGTGTCTGATGTTCTGAAGAAAACTCTAATAATACCCAGTGCCCAAATTTTTCAAACCGTTAAAAGGGAACTTGGTTTGGACATATACATGTATTCTCAATTCAGAACAAAGTATTCTCTTCTCATTGACCGAAATTAGTTTTACATAGAAAAATACGCTGAGATAGGCAAATCATGAGTTTTAGTCTCCAGACGAGATATTAAAACTTCTTGTGTTATACAGTCTGAAACTACTATCATATCGCCTTCTACTAATGTTGCCTTATAATGAAATCCATTTTGCTATCAGTCAAATACCCATAATCGACTAGCTTAAATTGAAGTCAAAACTTTACATCAAATATTTAATAGTCTAACACTAGAATATCATAAAGTGCATTAGCAGGTGAGAAACACGTAATCCTTAAAGCTGGTCAACAAGCAAGTCATTTACAGTGCTTGAAACGTCATCAGTTAATATTACTGTGTAACACTGTGTGACTTATCAAAATAAAATTTTATCCATGATGGAAACTAAAAGGAAATTTAGAAATAAATTATTGGTGGGTAATATGAAAATTTAGCAATTCTGAAAGCTGTTGACTTAAAATCAAAGAAGATCAAAACAGCAGTTGTTCAAGAATTAAGACTACATGTCAAACCAAATAAGATGTAGAAAGAAATAATAAGCTAACTCTGTAATCTAGGTGAGCTGACCTAAACAAAACGTTCTTAAATCTTAAGGAAACATGACCTTTCCCAAATTTATTGGATTGAAAATAATAAGGCAAACTTATCCCATATAAAATATCTAACGTTTTGAATATTGATGTTCCAGAAACGATATTCACCGAAATGTCAGTCTTAAAATCTAAACCTCCTGTGATATTTTAATTATTTTGTTCAATCAAGAGTTAACTTCATTCCTGTTATTGTTTCATTATGTGTGTGATTAATTTGACAGTGTGTATCAGTCAGCCAGCTACTTCTCAAGATACTTTTTAAATGAGGTATTGTGGTGATTGACTATTTCTATCTCTGTATTGTTTAAGTACTTACTGTTGACTGCTAATATGTTTCATATATGAATTGCATTAGAATTCCGCTAAATACAAATCCCTGAATTCCGCCCTCTGTGTGTTTTGTTTGGATTCTTGTAATTCGGTCATCTCGAAATACTAATACTACGATTACAATAAATTACTAGAAATTGGCGTCGCGATGGAACTAAATAACCTGGGAAAATTTCCTATAAATGGTTCTCCGCGGGAGATTGCTGATTATTTTGAATGCTTCGACGCGTGGTGCATTTCCAAGAATGTTCGGGATGACAAAATTCCAGAACATTTCATCACTGCTATTGGGCTAGATGCATATGGCCTAGTAAAGACTCTGTCATTTCCAGATAAACCAATTTCTCTGCCATATTACAAACTCCGTGAACTTCTTATAAATCACTTTCATGTAACTACATTTGAGATCAGAGAGAGGGCTCAG